TCTCACACTTCACAAACTGGAGCAGAATTTGTTGCTGGCGATGTGAAAGATGCAACATTCATGAATCACAATCGTGAGGATATACTTGTAGCTACAGGTTGTACAGATAGAATTTTCTTTGAGGGAACATCATTGGGTACTGTGAATGGAGACAATAATGTAGTTGAAGATAAAAACTTGAATATACCAATCGTTCATGGTCACAATAGTGATTTGGAAAGAATAGCTGGACAAAAAGTTTACCATTGCACAGCTTGCTCTATTACATATGGTAGTACTCTGCTTTACATTATGCATCGGGGTATGCATGGTTCTCGTGGGGTGTATGAATGTAGTGTTTGCCAGAAAATGTTTAAAAATCGAGTGATGTTTAATATTCACATTAGTGAACATCAGTTCTCATAGCTGTTGATAGTTGAATTTAAAATTGTGTATTGTTTTCAAATTAGGCAGAGGATTCTAAGAACCCGCCTATTCACATAGTTCATACCCACCATAGACTCCGGTCAGTCAAAATGACTATTTTGAACTGTAGGCATTAATCTGCGATTCAGCCAATGACGGAGAGAGAAATCTAGTTCAGGGGAAGCCCCATGACCTCAAGATTGTCCCCTTACTTCACAAACAGAGGCAATGAGGCTCCCCAATTCAGTCTGGCTACAAATAGGTGGTGGGTTTCCGAGCGAATCGAAAAACTATAAAAAGGGTGTCCCAGACCAGGATAATACCCTCTACCTATGACCACCTAGTCGAGACCAGTGAAGAAACAGTGTCCTACCTTGCCAGTGCCGTCCCCGGAACAAAGCCAAGTGCTGGACGGTGACGGGGTTTGGGTATGCCCGAGAACGCTAGACCCAAATTCTTGGGTAAGTAACTTTCAAAAGAAAAGACTGAAACAGTCCTGCATGAGGGCATAGGTCAAAAGCGAGACCTGGAAGGTTCCAAAGAGCGCTTACGGGAGAAATTTCCTCGCACAAATCTGTAGCAGAGAGTACTATATCTCCTATGTGCAGAGATCCCTGAGGTTGTCCAGGCTCGGTCAGTAACCAAAGCCTGACCCACTACGACAGGAGCCTCCCTAAAAAGACTCTCCTCAATGGATTGGGTATCTTATTGGTTGAAGTGGTAAAGACATTTGTATTCTCCAGAAGCCTGCCCTCTGCACATGCTCGAGGGGGGCACCTGACGCAAGAGCTAATGAGTTAGCAATTGCACAGACCTCATGCGCTTGTACTTGGTGCATCTGTAAACCCTGTGTCGAGGCAGCAGACAGTTAAAACCTCAAAGCTGGTCTCAGTGATCCACCTGGCAATGGAAGTTGAGAAGGCTGGTCTGTCCTGCTTACCCTGGCCATAACACATAAACCTGTGCTTGTTGTCATGCCTTGACTCTTCCTGATTCCCTTGGTTGGCAATGTTGCCAGCCGGGGGATGACGAACGGTTGTGGATCGTGTCCTGGGATTTGATTCCTGGTGACTTGATTGTCCATAAAGGCGACACACTCGTCCGAGAAGGACAGGGCTCCTAGTTCAGCCCGACGCCTACCTGAGGCAAGAGAGAGTAGTAAGACTGTTTTCCATGTCAAAAGTTTGTGGTGCTGACCGGAGAGGCTCAAAAAGCAGTCTGCTTAGAGCAGACAACAAAACCGTTCTAATTGACCATTTTCTGTTCACTGCGAGAATCACGCGTTATGCGTGAAATCGAATGTAAAAACAGGACAAACAAAGGTCACAGCATGTAGTGGCGTCAAACATCGCATAGGATTCGACAAACGCAAAAGTATTTTGGGGATATTTCCATGCCTAATAATGTGCTGTACACATTTGATGATAGGCAATTTCAATGAAGTAAGGGTATTCAAAAGCAATATTTCTCTGTTGAAGATCGGCCGGTCGATATGAGCTACGAAATGAGGAAATTCAAGTTAAAAATCAAATCGTTTGATTTCTGCGGCAGACGTTCAACGCGCGTCTTTCATGCAACTCGCGAGACCTCGTAGTTGAACGGAAAATCATCTATTGGTTGGTTCCCTCGTTCGGGGTTTAGGCCTCTGATTAAACAGTAAACAATCTCCTAATGGTAGGACAACCGGCTAGCCTCGTCTCCAGAGAATCCCAATGGTGGGTGACAAGGCTGACCTATAGCCAACAATCGCTGAAAGGATCATTTCGTCAAACCGATGGACGAAAAGTCAGCTGCCTGGCTAACAGAGGGATGGCATGGATCTCCCTTCCACTACACCAAGTTTGCGCACGTCATTTCAAGGCATAGGCTGTGTTGGTGGGATTCCTATTCGCCATGGCCAGGACGTTGGCAGCCCACTCAGAAAATATCTGAGTGAGTCAACTGAGAGCCTCGATGCGTGTAAGTGGTTCACCGCTGGGTTGGGAAGTAGATCAGGAGTCCGGAAGCACCCCTGGTGTTTCGACTAACATTTCCAACAGTAGTGGAAACCTTGCTTGGTCCGTTGGGCGTCACCCGCGTCAAAGTGCAGATGCGCTCCTGTCGAAGGTTCTCCAGTACCAGATGAATATGGGGGAAGGGAGAAAAGGCATACACGACCATGTGGGTCCACAGGGTCGACAAAGTGTCACTGGCCCAGGCTCCTGGAGTAGGCAGGAGTGTTGTGTACGTCAGGAGTTTATACATTGTATTCCAGGTATCAAAGGAGAATTTGCTCCGCTAGGACTGACAGCGATGGGGATCTGGTCCCCCCTCGTTGCTATAGGATACCACCACTGTGTTGACCATGCGAAGCAAGACTTCTTCCAGTACAAGCCAGTTGATATGGCAGCCCTGAATCTTAACGCAGGAACCATATTTTCAATTGGACTTGTTAGATCAATAGGTGCACTCCCCAACATGTGAGGGAGGCATCTGTTTCCAGAGTCATAGTGGTGGCGAGTGGGTCCAAGGGGACCCCCTGCCTGAGGTTGGCAATTGCCGACCACCAGAGCAAGGCATTCCTCGCCCGTTCGAGAGTGTTACTTGCCTCTCCAGTTCCAGTAAGAGAGCCCGGTGTTGCAACAAAAGTGCACTGTCACGGGTGGTCGCGTAATGCGGCCTGGGGGAACTACCCTGCAAACCGTGGACATCATTCCGATGATCCCCATCAGTTCTCGGAGGGACACAGAGGGAACTAAGGACTAGGTGTTCGGCTAGGTCGTTTAGGCAACGGGCCTGCAGCAACCAGACCAAGCCCACCTTTATGTCAAACTCCCTGCCCAGGAACATCAACTGTTGTGTTGGCTGAGGGTGGAACTTGCTCGATTTACTAGGAATCACAACTGGTCTAGAAAATCTGGCGTTAGCCTTACTGTTTGACTAACCACTCCTTGTTGGGTTCTGTAGCAACCAGCCATCTGTTTACACGTTGATGTGTTCCGATGTGATGTGCACCGGCGCAGCAGTAGTAGCACCTGTTTCCACACTCTGGTGAATACACATGGAGCCATGCAAAACTCGAAGGGGAGCACCCTGCACATGACTACTTGGCCGAACTGGGCGAATCGAGGGAGTAACTGACTCATTGGGTGTATAGGTATGTGCGGATAAGTATCGCTCAAATCTAGCGAGGCTAACCAGTAGAAACAGAGCACGGAGAATAATATGGTGCTCGGCGTTTCCAGGAAACACATACTGAATTAGTCTGCTCAAGTTCAGAACAGGGCGCAGCCACCTGCAGTCTTTGGAACAACCAATACTTGCGAGTAGAAGCCCGGATTTAATGCAGGGTCCCCTATCCTGTGTATAGCGTCCTTTGTAAGCAAACTCCTGTCGGATTGCTCTTGCTTTGCGGGGGTCCCCTGATAGTGCCCCGAATGGAGGCTGGTGATCTTGTAACCGTGTATCGCCTATTGGAGAGACCAGGGATCGGTTACATGCTGCCTCCGAACCGGAATACACCGGCACAATCAGTGCAACAGAGATGTGCCCATCCCCCTCGTCGCAAGCGGAAGCATCAAACCTGCTTCCCCTGTGAGCTGGGTAGGCATCTCCGAGGAAGAGGGGGGACCACCACTTGTTTCCCTTCTTCATGGGGGCGCGTTGCAATTCTTCCCTCCCACTCAACTGTACCAACTGGTCAGAGGGATCCCAAAGCACCGAAACTGCTCCTTCCATCCTCAAAAACGAGGAGGGTGGGGGAGGTCCAGTCTGCGTAACTGAAGTGGTGGTGCGCCCAGTGAAAACAGCCAAAACCGCAGTCTGTTGTACAGAGGAAGCTCCTGCCACGAGAGCCAGATTACCCTGTAGGATATCCCGTGTAGCCGTGTGCTGTCCCATCATGCAATGGCTGTGTCTGCTGGTCTAGGAGGCTGGTGCGTTCCGCCTTTGAGACTTCAGAGTGCTGGCGGTGCAAAACAATGTATTCCAGTGGGCTGGCCACAACTCAAAGGTTGAGGGTCGCCACTCTGCTCTCAGTGAATGGATTGTTTCTGACTAAACAAAATATTTCATGAACGCGGCCACCCCCTTTGCCCATCCCACTCAATCAAAAAATTCGTGGTACCGGGGATGGGGGGGGGGAGAAACAGAACAATTCGATTTGGGTGCGAGATTTGACTCCAGACTCTGCTGGCTCCGGTCTCAAACACCGCTTGATCGGGGAGCGCTTGGTCCAGTGAAAAGGATTGACTTAGGCCTCTTTCCCGCGGGGGACCAAGGTCCGCCCATCAACACCGTCTGTGGGTTCCAGACCAGGAGAGTCCTGCAGTTGTTACCCTTCTTGCTACCCATTTCTAACAACACATTGGTAAAAAATGAACAAGACATGCATGAGAGGAATGAATTAAAAAGTTAAAAAGTCGACACAAAGGGATCCAAAATCGCGGCTAAATGCGTCCACCGAGTTTTTTCTTTCTTGTAAGGCAATGCACACAAAAAGACGACACAGGGGTAAAAAATAAGAAAGACTTATCTTACAGCCACAGCGCCGGCTGCCACGCAGGTGACCGCAAAAACTCGGACAGGAAAGCTGATCGCACCGTTTTTATCGGACACCACACTCGGATGCAGAGAAAAACAAGACTGAATTGGGGAGCCAATATGGTGCTACCTCATTGCTTCGGTCACGTGGTTGTGACGTAATGGGAAAATCTTGCAATCATGGGGCTTCCCCTGACCTAGATTTTTCTCTCCGTCATTGGCTTAATTGCAGTTTAATGTCTAGAGTTCAAAATAGTCTGACTGACCAGAGTCTATGGTTGGTGAATTTTAAATTGTATTCATTTCCTGACATTAAAGGGCAGTCTGTAGTCGCCATGCACCGTGTGTTCGAAATAAATGTATTTTCCACGTGTTGTGTATGTCAATATGAGTTCCATATCAAACATGATGCAGCGTGATGACCACCGCCCTTTAAAAAATGTTTTTGTTTTATTGTAAATCAAAGTGTTGCGATAACCAAATTTACATTTTTTTGACTGAGATATGGAGAGTCTTCTGAGTTCTGTATGAAAACTGAATGAATCGAAAGTTACAAAGTCGGCTTTGTCTCAGTACTTTAGTAAACTGTGAAACGACAACTACCATCTGGTTTAAACAGCAATTTCAAATGTGTCTCTAATAAAATTTATACATAATGTATTTTAAATATAATTAAATTTTTGAGCAAAAGTTTTAATTTGTAGTGAACTTTGGTTTATCTTTCATTCATCTATTTACCTTACAAAACAGAAACCATTTCTATTAGCTTGTCCAATCAATTTGACAACATTTATAATATAATTAATGTACATAATGTAATGCTTTCTTATTCTCTTACATATAGATGTAGATGTGTGATGATATTTTCTTTACTGACAAATTAGATTACCGGTACTGCTTATATGGGGCTTGTTAGTAGCTTAGTTAATCATATATAGTTCTTGTGTTTATTCTATGTCCCTGTGGACGAGAATATTGTAATCTGATCATGCGTTACTTAAAGCGGGGGAGTCATCACATGCACATGCGTCAGATGGCCATAGCGTGTCATTGTTTACAAACAAGCTTCTACCCATGAGCCTTTGCGTTTTTAGTGTGTGTTGTTATCATCGCTTGGGACTCAATTCTTGCGCGTATGCAGGTGACGACCCTCTCGCTTTAAATATCATTTATATCAAATACTTTTTTTAAACTGTTTAAGCTGAATAAACTTAAATTGACCATGTTTATGCTGTGTTTGTAAATTTGTGCATGTTGTAATCTATACAATACTGAGCCATAATAAAATATTTGGTAGCATGTAAGATGACACATGTATATAATGTCACATGGTTTGTGCGATAATTGTATGCAAGTAATTGGAGATGCTGAATTATTTGAGTTGTGGACATCGAGTTACGAACATCGAGTTAGGAAAACATTGTGTGACAAAAATTACCACGGCCATATTCCAGAAACCACGCCGATATTGTAACTCGATTTCAATTAACAGTTAACAGCACTTCAAATTACGGGTAATATATATTTTTGTTTTTGTCGTTTAGTAACTCTAATTTCAATTAACTGTTAATCGAATTTCAAGTTACGGAAAATATAAAACGTTAAACAAAAAATATGTTGTCCATAACTAGAAGTTCTGTTAACTATCTGGGTGTGGTTTCTATAATATGGCGTGGTCATGTTAGTCAACGTTTTCGTAAGTCAATGTCTGTAACTCGAACATTCAGCATCGCTGTAATGGTAAGCTAATATCAACGAAATGCTGAATTGTTACAGACATTACAAACATGACCATGCCCATATTTTAGACACCGCACCCACTTTGCAAAACCACGACCAAATTATAACTCGATACAAATGCATATTTTAACTTAAGAAATCAAAGTTTATTTATTATACCTAACTTATATAAAAGATATGTTATTCAAAGAATAGATACCTATAAAAAATATCAAATACAGAAATCAAATGGATCCAAATGTCACTATATTGTTCTCTTGGTCAATATTATGATATGCTCACCAACAGAAAAAATACAGTAATCAAACAATAAGTCACCATTATGTCGTACATTAAGTTAGAACATAAATTCAGTAGCAGTGCATTGAAAAGTACAATGAATATTTTGAACTGAGACAACATACTTGTTTGATTTCAATGAAATGAATTGAAGTTATAGATGATTTTGTTCAAACTTTGTATATACATTGGACATTATAGGACCTTGATGCAAATCATTTTGTTTTTCAGATAAGATTCAAAATGGCCGACTGGCGGCCATTTTGTTTTAATGAATGTGGTTCTGGTGTCATATGTCAGACTTGCTTTGACTGATTATGTTCAAATTTTAAATATTTATTATACACCATGTTATAGATATATACATATATTCAAAATGGCTGATTTTGTTTTAATTAAAGCTGTTCCAGAGCAATATCTCTCAATATGGACAAGTACTCATTTGATGATCAGATACAAATGTCAATTATTTTAATGTTAAACAATCATAATAATCATATTTCAACTATATTACTATAAACAAAACTATATATCTTAAATTCGATAACTAACGGGGACTGTGCCATGCATGGCTTGTTAAACTAGTCATGGCTTAAAAACACTCAGACTACTAACATTTGTACTAGGGTTACCATTTTTCAAAATTAGAAATTTACAAGAAAATACAATTTGATTTTACATAAGCCTGTATGTATTCAAAGCTAAGAGTGTTTTACACAACTTGAGAGATACAACATTTATCTTCATAATATCATGTATGGCTCTAATTACGTACTAAAGCTGATGGTTTACTAAATAATACTTACTATATAAAACAAACTCTTAAAATTAATAGCCTAGCAGACTTCTAAGAAAGGTTGATTTCAAGCTCTACTGTACTAATTTTATTTTTTCTCGTTTAAACCATGCCAAACAGTACAGAAGTATATCTAAGCTAAATATTGGTGAAAATATAAAAGTCTGAATTGTTGAACAAATATTTTATTTTATTCAAATTGTCACACTTATATTAAAAGTTACTTTGCTATTCACAGAAAAATGAAATCAAACTAGGCCATAACCCCACATTTACTACACTGGTTACCATTTCATAAAATGTCATGCTGTTTCATTTTTTACCAAAAATTACAAAAATATTCATCAAAATAAGAGGATTGAAAATATCAAGAAATGATCAAATCTGATAGAGGTTCATTCATGCTACCTATATGTATAATACCACATAAATCAGACTTGCGGTTTTTAACAAGAAGTCCAAAATATTGTTTTTTACTAAAAATGACAAACATATTCATCAAAAAAGAGCATTGAAGATATCATGATATGCACATATACACGTTGTATACAGCAAGTATCAAAGCAATCAGACTCTTAGTTTTCAAGAAGTTGAAAAAGTAAAAAGCGAACGACAGACGACGATGGACAATCACTCATATCATAAAGTCGAACTAATGGTGGAACTAAAAAGGTGTATTAGACACCACAAACCAATGTATTTTGAATAGAGCTATAAATCCGAAAGTAATAATTGTTTTCAGCCTAAGAGAGTCAGTCAGAGTCTAAGGATACAATTATCGATTGCTGACATTTCCTGATTCATCAGAATTTTTTCAAAACATACAAACCTCATTTTTAAAATTCCTGATCTTAAATTTGCATTCCCACCCTGAAAATTTAGGAGGCATCATCCCCTGAGCAATAATGAATAATGAGAAATTAGCGGCAGAATACAAATTTAAGCAAGCTACTTAAATTATGACACTCATTGAAGGTTTGTATAAGGAATAAAGACTCTGCAGTATTCTTGATGAGCTGGAATGTGACGTCAGAATATCTACTTTTAATATATTATATTTTTAAGCTAAAACAGCATTATTTTAACACATCTTATACTTTAGTTTTGTTCTGGCAGTGATATTTCACATATTTACAAAGTGGAATTGCAACTTAAAAGAGAACAAAACTTAGATAAGACCTTTAAAACAAATTTAAGATCTCCAAAGAAATCTGGACATTCAAAATGGCATCAGTCACAATTGTTGATAAAATCAATTAATCAATAACGACTAACAATATTCCTAGTTTTGAATATAAATAATAAGTGCAAGCAACATCATCACATGTGTTCCATTAGATGTTTTAGGCCATTTAGGAAGATGATCGGCAGTAAGCCATTTGGAGTGGAGAACAGACAAAACGTATATATTCAGCAAACCTGTGGTTTTTTTTAAAAATAAAGTAAAAAATGAATTTAATCCATGTGCACAAATTTAGTTATCAGACAATAATTATGAAAGACAACCTTTTTTCATCATCGATCATCGATGAAAAAAGAGCTTAAATTATTTGTTGCTGTGTTTCGTTGAAAAATAAAAAAAAATGGATTCAATCTTATTCTTCAGATTTGAATGTTTTCTAATACTAGAAACTAAACCTGCAATGTTTGATTGGCCACAGTTGTCACAGTATGCTGTGTTTTCATATTTAGCAATTACATTAATTGTTCATACAAAATTAATTGTGCTGTACAATGATTGGAGCAATTAAACAATAAGATTTACATATAAACAAACAAATATGGAGCAGTCAATTAATGATATTACAATTTAAATGTTCTGATGGTAATTGCAGTGCAGTCATTTTTTTATGATAAGAAAATTAAACTGATAATTTATTCTAATTCAATTTTATCGCAGCTTAAAGGATGGCTACGGATATGTACGTTGAATTCTACACTGTCTTTACATATTTGCTGACAAACACTACACTGAAATAATCCTTGTGCTCCATGAAAACCCAGATGCATAATGTAAAGCATGGTATTCTCGTACTTAATATGACATGGGCCACAATTGTAGGATTTCTTTTGACTCTGAGAGTTCTGATGGATGTTATTTTCATTGTTAGTTGCATTGTTAATGTCAGTTTCGATTGGAACAGTCTGTGTAACATCTTGGTCAATGAGATTGGCTCCTGATGTTGAAGGTAAAATTTCATCTTCAATTTTTATCTCATCTGTGGTTTGTTCATTCATTTCACTCTCTTCTTGATTCAATGGTGTGTACCTCACATGCATCCCACTCCTCAAACCATCATCAGCCTCGCGGGAAGGTTCGTTTGTTTCAGTTTTTGGAACTGAACTAAGATAATTGTCACATCTGGGTATGTCAATAACAACAGCAGAGGCTAGACCATGTTTCTGAACAAGCTTCAACAAAACATTTCTGGATGACACACTCTGTTCACCAGTCAACGCTGCCCTAGTTTTATTTTGACGGCTTTTTGATGGCACATTCCCACCAGTGTTTGGCTTACTAGCCTGGAAACGTGCCCAAGCTGCAGCAAGTTCTGACAAACTTCTCCCACCAAGTACAGCTTCCTTCCTGAAACGAGGTAACACATTTGGCTTTGAAGTAGCAGATCTACCACCTGTTTCAGAAACAGTCCTATTATGTCCAGCCGACTCATCTTGGTTCTGAGAAGTATCCTCATCAGCAGGTTCTAGATCAGTATTATTCTGTGGCAGGCAAACATCTTCTTCATCAGCAGGTTCTAGATCAGTATTATTCTGTGGCAGGCAAACATCTTCTTCATCTGCTGGAGAATCTGACACGTTTATGTCATTATCTATTTCATCAGACAATGCAGATTGTGGTAACGAGTCTTTCTCATTGTTAGATGTCAGGGCACGGAACAAGGTAGGGTAAGTAACACGATCATTGTTTTCCATCTGCTCCACATTGTGAACATCTTCTGCTTCACTCACCTGAGTCCTATTAGTGACATCTTGCTGCAGGCAAGCAGCTTCCCGATCTTCCACAGAAGATACATCCATCTCATCACTTAGATTAGTTTCCACCCTATCACACGCTGCAACACCTTTTTCACAGTTTGTTGGACTACCTGTCTGGTTGTTATCAAGTTCATTCTGTGAACATTTCTTTTTTGAAGAATTTTTTAAAAATTCCTCTCCACGTGAACCAGTTGGAACAATTTTTTCGACATGCGTTTTTTGGTGATGCTTCAATGTCTGTTTCAGAAAGAACAATTTTCCACAGGTATCACATTTATGTCGTTTTTTGTCAGCATGAAATTTTTGATGCATTTTGTAAGTAGAGACTAGAGAGAATTTTTTGTTACAGAGAGTGCAAGTCAATGCCTTTCTGTGCATTTTTTCATGTTCGTTGCAAGCATCTTTACGAGAGAATTTCATGCCACACATACCGCATCTGACATACTTCTTTAATCCATCTCCTGATGGCTTCGTTTTTTCATTCAGATTATTACTTTCTTTTTCATGGGTTTTTGTTGAACTTTTCTTTTTCTTAGCATTCTTCTTTTTGTTATGGTTTGCTGTTTTATTTTTATCCCGTTTCTTTGCATTATCTTGTTTAACAACAGCTGTTTGTTTTTTTATCTCATATGGGTTTTCTAAATGTTCCGTTAGATGATCTTTTAAAACATATTTACGGGTATAGCTACAGCCACAAATATGACAAGTAAATTTTGGTCGCTCAGCTAAATGTAATTTCTCATGTCTCATCATATTACATTTTTCAACAAACTTTCTTCCACAGTGACTGCAACTGAATCTCCTCTCACCCACGTGTATTTTTTTGTGTTCTTTTAGACTACTTTCTTGAGCAAACGCCTCCCTGCATACAACGCATATGTATGGTTTCCCTTCAGAGTGCACAGGCCAATGCTCTCGTAGACTTTTAAACTGTTTGAAGCCTATCCCACAGGTATCACATTTATGAAGATTATCTCCGACATGGGACTTCGAATGTTTCTTAAGAGTGCTTGTCTGTGTAAACGCTTTCCCACAGATATTGCATTTGTATCGTTTTTCACCTGTGTGTATTCTCATATGTACTCCAAGTGCGTTCCTACATTTGAATTTCATCCCACAAGTCTTACATGTGTAGGGTCTTTCATCAGAATGCACTCTTTGATGTGACTTCAGCTGCATAACATGTGAAAATCTTCTATCACATATCGTACATTTATGTGGTTTTTCACCAGTATGTGTTGTCATATGCGATTTTTTGGCACACTGCCAACCAAATCGCATGTCACACACGTCACATTTATAAGGCTTTTCCTTGGTGTGTATCCTTTTATGTTGTTTTAAAACTGTTTTCTCAAAGAATTTCTTACCACATGTTTCACACTGATGCTTTTTTTCTCCAGTATGTTTGTAAAGATGAACCTTTAAATAATTCTTATGTCTCAACTGTTTACCACATATATGACAAGGGTAGCGATTCAGTACGCCGTTTACGCACTCTTTTTCATGTTCCTTCTGATAAGATCTACTGGTATATGATTTGTGACAATTTTTACACTTAAACATTTTATTTTTTGAATGTGTTCGTTTATGTACCACCATTTCCGTGCGTTGGACAAAACGTTTTGGGCATTCGTCACATGCATAGCGTTTAATCTCAGAATGCCTTCGTTTATGAACTGTTAACATCACTTTTTGTTCAAATCTAAACCCGCAGACATCACACACAAATTTCCTTTCCTCAGAGTGGACTCTCATATGCTTGTGCAACGCCTTCGAAAATGTGCATTTCCCACATATGGTGCACTCACGTGGAATGTCCGCATCATACCACTTATGATGCTCCGTGAGAGCTGATTTTTCTGAGAAACCGCTGAAACAAATGTCACATCTGAATGGCTTCTTCGGTATGTGTCCCGCCTCATGCTTCTTCAACTCATGTCTTAGCTTAAATGTCTTCTCACACTTATAACATTTGTGCCGCTGATCACCAAGATGGCTCTTTTGATGTAGTTTTAGTGCTTCGCTATTGAAACGCTTACCACAAGTAGGACACTTGTGAAGTTTACCTTTCTTAGACCTTTGTCCTTTTTTCTTGTCCATCATCACATTATATTATGCTATCAGCACTATAATCTACCCAAGATGATGCCAGATTAATACCAAATGTACCTATAAAAAATAAATTAAAATGCATCAAGCAGCTTAACAGAGAAAGGGCCTATGTATAGATAAATTGCTCTGATGGGTATAGTCATGATTTCTAACAATCATGTGTGTTTTGCCACAGTGAACATAAGCAGTAAACAAATTATGCGTGTAAAGAAGAGATAGAAAGTTGGAGTAATAGTGACGTTATTCTTGTATTCAATCCAAAATAGAGAAAAAACCATACAACCAATAGTGATAAGCTTGACAAATACTAAATGCACTTGGTACACAGATCCTATAACCCAATTTCAGATCAGTGCAAGTGGTTCTGTTCTAATTTGATTTATTTATTGACACAACAATGACTTGGGAATGTACAGAATTAAAGTATAGATGCAGGTTTGTGGGCGCTCGCAGTGAATTTTTTTTTTTTTTTTTTTACTTTTTCTTACCTAGACAGTCTTTGCTAGATAGTTGAAAAATTTATTTTAAAATATAGAGAACCAAGGCACGCATATGTGATATGTGATTGATCTTATCATAACCAAAGAGAAGATGCGATTTTTAGTGCATACTGTACCGAAAGTCTGAGTATGAAACAGACATGGGATCATACGTCTGTACAACAGAAAAAACAGATATGCCTCGACGAAAAAAGTGGGCCGTAATGACAATATTGTGACATAAATTGTAAGTGAAAAGTACAGAGCCCTGGCTGTGTGAATGAAAAGCGCACATGTTTGTATAATTTGCAACAACCCATTGCACATGTTTATTTTTAAGACTGCTGATACAGTCACTGGATTGTGTTGTCAGCAGAAATTGAGATACATACATTCTGTCTCTCCCTGTGGCATAATGGTATGGCTCAGACAGTGACATGGGGATTGTGAAATACCTTGGAATGTGCTGAAC